GGTCAAGAGCATGGAGTCATTTAGAAATTGAGTGGAAGTCCTTTGTTTCTTGAGTTCTGTTGACTTTGTCGTATCTCCTTGCATTTTGGATTTAGCATCCACATATCAGGGAGACCATGTGCCATTTGTCTCTCTGCTCTTGTGAGCCTTAGTAATTTTTAAAGAACATAAATTTATTTTTTCACCATTTTAGAGGCTGGGAGTCCAAGATCAACACATTGACAGGTTCAATGGCCTGGTAAGGCCCTCGAGTTGGCCTCCAAGATGGCGCCTGATGATTACATCCTCCAGAGGGTAAACACAGAGGTGAAGAGACAGAAAAAGAAAGAGGAGAGAGGGAGAGATCTAGCTAGTTCCCCGGCCCTTTACAAGGCCCTAATTGCATTCGTGAGGATAGAGTCTTCGTGGCCTACTCACCTTCTCAAGCAACTGCTTGATATCGTAAAATCTCAACATAGGCATGTGGTGACACACTGAAACCACAGCGCGTCATATGCACCTCCCACAGTTCTGTTTGGCCTGACTGGCGAGACGCACTCAAATTATCAATGGTATTCTCCTGGCCTCACAGTCCAGTGATGGCAGCCTTCCACCACACTCGCAAAACACTTTGGCCTTCGTGTCTCCTTGGATCTATCCAGAGCCTTATGAACCACTCCAGTCCAAGGCTGATGGATTTCTGCACCTCCTCCCTGCTTGCTGTCTTGGGAGTCTCTTCAGCAGCGTGCTGAGGATTCTCTTCACCTCCTACCTACAGTGGGTCTCCTCTTTTTTTTTTTTTTTGAGCCCTCTGGCTTCCCGTCTTAATTGACTAGGTGGTTTTCGTAAAGCACATCAAAGTCAAAGCCAAGGATGGGCACACAGCAGAACACAGGAAAGTTGCCCTGAGTCCTGAGCCCCTTGCTTCTAGAGTTCTTTTATGTGTCCTTCTGCTGAGTTCCGTGTGTGTGTGTGTGTGTGTGTGTGTGTGTGTGTGTGTTGACAGGGATCAAACTCAAGACTTTGTGCATGCTAAGCAAGTCTTCCACTGTTCAAACCTCTGATCTTCCCTAAACTTTTTTCTTCCTTCCTTCCTTCCTTTCCTCTCTCTCTCTCTCTCTCTTTTTCTCTCTCTCTCTCTCTCCTTCCTTCCTTTCTTCTTTTTCTTCTTTCTTCTTTCTTTCTTTCTGTCGTGGGGCTTAAACTCAGGTTCTAGGCGCTGTCCCTGAGCTCTTCAGCTCAAGGCAAGCGCTCTACCACTGAGCCACCTTCCCAGCCCATCTCATTTTTAAAGTTCTCCGGGGGGATTCTAATGAAGACACCCCTTAGCATCACCAAATCAACCTGTGACCGTGTCTGCTTTGACCTGCATTGTAATGGCCTACAGAAATCATCTTGCAAATGTAAAATTCCATCCGTTTTCATTGGCCCCAAATCCTGCAGCTCTCAGTTTCTGCACACAGTAGGTCTCCCTTCCCACAGGACATTAATAGTCACCTGTGCTGAATCGCAGCTGAACCTTGGCTCTGCATTCTTCTCTAAGCCCTCAGGCTCCCACTCTATCGCCACAGTGCAGGGGAGAGAAGAAGTGACAGTTGCTGTTTATCTTCCCATTTGCACTGTGGGTTTTCTTACATCAGCACTAGGAGATGAGTAATAACGCGCTTTGTGAAACCACAAAAAGAAAGTTAAAGGTAGCCCAAAAAGGCCAGGAGTGCTGAGCCCACCGACTCATTCTACCTCCTGCCTGGGCTGGGCTGGGCTAGGTGCTTGCCCCTGACCTAAATCCATTCACGTTTTCCCACCCCAGCACCAAAATGTCTGTGGCCCAGAGAGCAAAGAGTTAAAAAGCGAGAGGTCTCAACTCAGTTATCCTAATAATTATCTCTCCACGACAAAAGAACACTGTAGCGCTACAATAAGAAAAAGGTGCTGGGTGCCAGTGGCTCAGGCCTGTAATCCTAGCTACTCTGGAGGCTGAGATCTGAGGATCACCATTCAAAGCCAGCCCAGGCAGGAAAGTCCAGGAGACTCTTAATCTGCAATGTACTTGCAAAAACAAAAGTCTGAAGTGGAGCTGTGGTTTCAGTGATAGAACACTAGCTTTGAGAACGAAAAGCACAAGGACAGTGCCCGGGCCCTGAATTCAAGCTCCAAGACTAGAACATATACATACATACATACATAAGCAAACAAATAAAGCATCCAACAGCACCCAAGGGCCAGTTCCAGAATTCAGAAAATGACAGACTTGAGCAGCTTGATCCTTTTCTAAGGTACTACATGGGCCAAGGTTAAACCTGACTTGCAGGCTATAGAAACATTTATCTTGGAGTTTAAAGAAAAAGGAAGTGGCGCTGTGGCTCAAGTGGTAGAGCACTAGCCTTGAGCTGAAGAGCTGAGGGACAGTGCCCAGGCCCAGAGTTCAAGCCCCACGACCAACAAAAAAAAAAAGAAAAAAGGAAGACTGCCATGAGAGGGTTAAATTTCAAGCCTTTCCCCTCCCGAGATCAGAGTCCACTCCAGGCAAGTCTGACTGTATGTGAGAGCTCCCCTTTCGGGTCCCCCCCCACTGCACCATTCCTTCCCCAGCCTGCGGTCTGTCCAGACTGTACCTTCTGCCTGCTCTCTCTTCCTCTGACGGATAGCTCTCATCTCTCAAGAGTCCCAAAGAATAGCCAAGTTAGGGAACCAACCCAGATACCCTACAATGGATGAGTGGGTCCAAAACATGTGGTACCTATACACAATGGAATTTTACACTCCCATTAGAAATAATACTATTATGTCACTTGCAGGGAAACAGATGGATCTGGAACCAATCATGTTAAGTGAGGTAAGCCAGCCTCAGAGGGACCAATGGCGCATGCATTCTCTCATAGGTGGAGGCTGGATCTAAAATACGTGGGAACATGAAAAATTATACAAGACGCTAGGCATTTACACACAGTGAGCCCAAAAGAGAATACTCTTACAAAAGGAACACAAAGACACAAAGCATCTGTGCCTCTGATCAGATAAAATAACATTTCTCAAAATGAACTCCAGGAAATGAAACGGAGGGTTGTTTTTTTTTTTTTGTCTTTGTTGCTGTTTTTGTTTTCTTTTCCTTTTGTTGTTCATTGATCTGTCTTTGGGAGGGTAAGGGGAGGACACGGAAATGAAGGGACAGAGGGTGAACAAATGCAGCAGTGGCACTCACTAGACACTATTTTGAAAATGAACTCTATCACTTGTGGGTAGGGATGGGAGGGTAAAACTGGGAGAGAGCAATGTCACTGTAACCCCTCTGTACATCACGTTTATAATAATGATGTTTAAAAATCAAAATGATAAAGAAAGACGCTCAAGGACTCAAACCCTCTTCACACCCCCTTGCTAAGAAAATGCCCCTCCTATGTGGCCCTAAAGCACTCTGTAATTACTCCATCCTAGCACTTATGTGACTTCGTGAATGCTTTTAAATTATCTCTATCCTGCACAAGAATGTAGGCTGCAGGAGAGCATGCCGATTACCAATCTTGTTCACTACCCTGTCATCCAGAAGCACAGTGCTGCATCTGTAGACACTCAATAGATAAGGCAGGCCAGACCAATGGATGACAGCTGGGTGGATGGGCGGGTGAGTAGATGGGTGGGTAGATGAGGAGATGGGTGAATGGAGGTGGGTAGCTGGGGGGGGGGGTGAGGGGGTGAATAAATGGGGGTGTGATGGATGAAGAGATGGACAGAAGGAAGGATGATTCATGTAAACACAAGCAAGAAAAAAAAAAAGATGAGTGAAATGGAAGACCAAAGACTGGAAGGAGAGAGGGAGATCTTGTAGATGAAGATGTCTGAGCAGGACCATTTTCTCCCAGTTGCCCTCCCTCCTCCAGTCTCCCGCAAATGTCTTCCATGGCTGAACCAGTTTCACAGAGAACTGGCAATGGAGGGAGAATGAGGGGAATGCAATTCGCAGAGATCAGATCTACTGCAGAATAGAGACACACAATCCAAGGGCAGAGGGCTGAACATGGAACAGGGAATATACAAGAGAGGCTTGCTGAAGTTTGTCTGAGCAAGGTAATGAAGGGGGAAGCCCAGAAACCAAGAAAGAGCACGAATAGACCAGCTCAGGGAGAGAGAAGCCACCATTCGAATAGTTAATGACAATTATCTAAGCCTTGAACACGAGGGGGGAGGGAAAGGAAGGGTGTTGGGCTGGGAATGTGGCTTAGTGGTAGAGTGCTTGCCTAGCCTGCATGAAGCCCTGGGTTCAATTCCTCAGTACCACATACACAGAAAAAGCTAGAAGTGGTGCTGTGGCTCATGGTAGAGAGCTAGCCTTGAACGAAAGAAGCTCGGGGACAGCTCCCAGGCCCTGAGTTCGAGCCCCAGGGCTGGCCTAAAATCCAGCTACACTGAAGTAGCAGTTCTCAAGGAGGGATGGTTTTACTACCCCTACCATCCACCCCATCTCCCACCCCTGTGGCTTGCTGGATAGAAGACCCTCTGGGCAGAAGGCTCCTCTTGCATTTCACTGACAATCCAGACAGATTCCCTCCTTGGGCACAGGGGCTGCCAGGTAGTGTTCAAACCCGCCAGAAAAAAAACCCAGGCGCTGATGGCTGGCATCTGTCACCCCAGCTACTCCCGGAGGAGGAGATCTGAGGACTGCAGCGCAAAGCCAGCCTGAGTTTCCAGGAAGTGCAAACGAGACTCGTCTCCAATGAACCACCTGAAAACCACAGGCGGAGCCGAGGCGCAAAGCAGTAGCGCACTAAAAGCTCGGGGACGGTGCTCGGGCCCTGGGTTCAAGCCCCGCGACCGGCCCAACACCCACACCCGGCTAAGGCTGCAGGAGCGGCGGCGTGCCCGTCCCCTGCGGTTTCTTTTGCCCACTAGTCCGTCTCCACCGCCAGGCGCGGGCACAGCGCTCAGTGCGTGCGCGCCGCAGCGCAGCCCCGCGCCGGGCGCTGCCGGCCCGCGGCCGCCAGGGGGCGCCGCCGCATCGGCGCGCGGGGAGGAGGCAGCGAAGGCGGAGCGGCCACACACCCGGAGCAGCATGTGGACGCTCGGGCGGCGCGCGGCCGCCAGCCTGCTTCCCCACGCGGGCCTCGCGGGCCCAGCCCGGGCCTGCTCGGGGTCCCGGCGCCGCAGGAAGGGCTGGCCAGCCGGCAGCCGCCGGGATCTGCACGCTGGGCCCGCCGCGGCCCGCGAGCCCCGCCGCAACGTGAGTATGGGCGCCGGGCCGCACGCGACGGAGGGTGTCGCGCGCACGCCGGGCGCTCGGGGGCGCGCGCGCTCGTTCCCCCCCCCCCCGCTCGGGGGCGCGCGCGCTCGTTCCCCCCCGCCCCCGGGCGCGCGCCGGCCGCCGGCGTCCCTAGCGCGGGCCTCCTGGAATCGGGCGAGGGCCGGTGCGGGCCCGGGGCGCGGAGGGGAGCCCGCGTCCCAAGCCGGCCGCTTGCTTTGCGGGTCTGGAGCCCTGTTCTCGCAGCGATCGCCAGGCGAGGCGGTCTTCGCGGACGTGCGTGCTGTTAGTTGTGGTGCCGTGCATGCTGCGGGCGCGCGCATTGGATAGGGTGATCGTCCCCCCCCTTTTTCACGCGGGCTGCCCTCCCGCGAGGTCAGGGGTGGCGGGGGGTCGGGGGGGCGGCCGAGACCTGCGTTTGGCCAGTAACTCCCATCTTGAGCCCAAATTCCCGCCGAGCTGTGTGACCTTTAGGGACCCCCCCCCCCCACCTCGCCGAGACAGGCCCTGATGTCTCCACTGGGGGGGTGAGGACCCCCCCCCACTTTGAGGACCCGCGTGGAGGATTAAATTGGATTAGCATAGACTTTTGCGTTGGCTCAGGCCCGTTAATCCTGGCAACTCAGCAGGCTGCGACCGGAAGATGGAGGTTCGAAGTTAGCCTTGGGCAGGAAAGTCTGTGAGAGTCCTATCTCCAGTTAACCCCCCGGAAGTGGAAGTGGAGCTGTGGCCCGAGCGGTAGAGCACTAGCCTTGAGCAAAGAAAATGCTCAGGGACAGCGCCCAGGCCTTGAGGTCAAGCCCCACCACGCACACCCTGCACGCACACGCACACGCACCCACTTCCTCACCTCACATTTGCCCCTTTTATTTCCTTGGGAATGCAGAGAAATAAACGACCCTTGAGGTTTTTAATTCCAACCTTGACGATGCCAATGGAGTGGTGGAGGGAACATTCCAGAAAGGGCAAAGGTGGCAGGGGCCAGAGGAGAGGGGCCCCTCACCAGTGCCCTGGATGCTACAAATAGTGGAGTTGAAGGAGCCAGCTGAGGTCCAGCCTCAACTATATATGGAGCTCAGAGTTTGGACATGGGCCCAGGAGTGTCGCTCAGCGGTAGAGCACCATGTAGGCTTAAACTGTCTGCACAGTATTCAACCCATGCTGTTCGAAGGCCCTTAGAACTCACTGTCAATAGAATAACAGGCAAATGTGGAATCCCTTCCTAAAGCAAGCCTTCCTTGCTCACTCCTGTGCTGTCCTTACCTGCGGCTGCTACTGAGCTTCCACCACGCCTAGGTGGGCATGTAGGTTGCCAACATTTTAATTTAGGAGCGTGACAAGAAGTGGTTCCTCGGGCTGGTCCCTTGGACGGTCACCAGGGGCTTTCTAAGTGATTAGCCACATCGTCCACCCATTTGGACTTCTTTTTTTCCAGCCTAAACGAATCAGTGTCTATCCTGCTGGCTCCAAGGTGAGCTTGCACTGCCTGGGGATTTTTGCAGTTTGCGTGAATGGCCAGGGCAACCCCACCTCCCCTCTGTGTAATTATTTTAAGGCCCTGAGGCTCATTGGGCTGCTCCTGAAGGTCTGGGATTCCTCAGGACCTGGGAGCTGGCTGGCAGCCTCCTCCCAGCCTTCTCTAAACCTCCTTGGATTAGTCTAAGGCAGAAACAGCGAGGAAACCACATGCACAGTTCCAAATCCTCTAAGAGCTACGCTGAAGAAGTAAAAAGAACCAAGTGAGATTAATTTCCCCACTATATTTAACCTAGTAGATCCAAAAGACCATTTCATCGCGTAATCAGTAATGTCAGATCTTACTTCCTTTTTTTCTATCTAGCACATTTGCGTTCGGACATTCGGTTTCTCTGGAACTGTCTGAGCTGTGTCTGGGTTTTGTCAGATTCACAGTGGAGCTGGAGCTGGAGCTGGGTGGTAGAGAATCTGCATAGCATGCAGCCAGATCCAGTCACCAGCAAAGTCCAGCCAGGCACCCCTGGCTCACGCCTGTAATCCTAGTTTCTCAAGAGACTAAGATCTGAGGATCACAGTTCAAAGCCAGCCTGGACAGGAAAATCCATCAGACTTACATCTAGTAAACTACTAGAAAAGCCAGAAGTGAAGCTATGGCACAAGTGATAGTATGCTAGCCTGGACAAAGTTCAGGGACAACACCTAGGCTCTGAGTTCAAGCCCCAGGACCAATGCATGCACATGCGCATGTGCCCACACACACAACACAATCACAATTGAAAATGAAGGTTCACATAGCCAAATTACTGTCAACATACTTATAAATTTTTAATAACGTTATTATTTTAATTTGTTTGACTTAAATAAGCCTAGCCAGGTGCTAGTAACTCATACCTGTAATCCTAGCTACTTAGGAGGCTGAAATCTGAAGATTATAGTTCAAAGCCAGCCTAGCAGAAAAATCTCCAAGATTCTCATCTTCATATAATCAGTAAAAAAAGCTAGAAGTGGAGGTGTGGTTCAGGTGGAGCCAGCCCGGAGCACAAAAAGCCACGTGAGAGTTTGAGGTCTCCTGACTTCAAGCTGTAGGACCGACACAGATGCACAGGCGTGTATACACTCACACACACACACACACACACACACACACGTTCTCTATGTGTACCACTGACCACATGTAGCCACAGGACTCTTGAAATGTGGCCACACAGCTGAAGGATTGACTTTATTTTCTGTTCAATAACTTTATTTTTGGGCAGTACTGAAATTTGAACTCATGGCTTCTGGCTTGCCAGGCACATGCTCTACCACTGAGCCATGCCCCCAGCCTCTTTTTTTGCATTGATTCTTTTGGTACAGGGTCTCCTTTTATTCTCCCAGAATCCTCTTCTCTTAGGCTTCCAGCTACCACTAAGATGGCCGGCAGGCACCACCACACTGAGAAGTGGGGGGGGTCTTTTGAACCATGATCCTTCCAATATCAGCTTCTCATATGGCTGGGATTATAGGTATGAACCACTGTGCTTGATTTATCTTCAAATTTGCATCCCTATATTAGGCTCCTGGCTACCTTCTAGGACAGCACAAGATTAGACAGGGAGCAGCAGGACCCATTTTAGTGTACGATAAGAAGGTGAGACACAATCTAGAGGAACTGCAGAGTATAAAATACAAGAACTAGTGATTTTAATATGTCTCCCCTTGCATGTAAAGAGTAGGCTACTGGAGACTAAGTGTTCTTAACTGTGCTTTAGGGTTTGAACCTCTACTACCTCAACCACATTCTGAATGTCCCAAAGCAGAGTGTCTGCTGGATTCATTGGAGGAGCTCTGGAACTTTAGGTAACTCCAGGTAAGACTCAGATACCTTCCACTTGGGAGAGCTCTTCTTCTCTCGTCCCTCCCTCCCTCATTGAGCCTCTCTCCTCCTGGAAGCAGTAGCCAGTTTGTTTCTTCAGTTTCTTCAATAGCTTACCGTTATGTAGAGTTGTATCATTCACTTAAGCTGTCCCCTACTGGTTTACTGGTTGTATCTGTGCTTTCTTGCTATCTTCTTAAGCATTCTAGTTAAAGTAGGCCATGCTGCTGTAACAAAGAAAGCCTGGAACTCATCAAATTCAACATTTTTTCCCTCCAGTCCTGGGGCTTGAACTCAGGGCCTGGGCACTGTCCATGAGCTGCTTCTGATCAAGGCTAGCACTCTACCACTTGAGCCACAGCGCTACTTCCAGCTTTTTCTGTGTATATGGTACTGAGAGATCGAACCCAGGGCTTCATGAATGCTAGGCAAGCACTCTACCTACCACTCAGCCACCTTCTGAGCCCATAAATTCACCATCCTTAAAGGTACAGCTCAGGACATTTTCTATCTTCATGGGCTGTATGGCTGTCACCACCGCATAAATCCAGAGCGTTTTCATTTTCAGTACTCCAGAAAGAAACCCTGTAGCACCTAGAAGTTATATGTTTACCCTCCTATCCCCTTCCCACCCACCTCCCACCCCAGAAAACCATGGATCTATTTTCTGTCAGTGTGGACTTACAGCAATATGGCTTTTTTTTTTTTTTTTTTTTTGAGTAGGGTTTGGTTTGGTTTTCAGAAGCAGGGTCTTGTTATGGCATCCAGGCTGCTCTTGAACTGAAGATCCTCCTGCCTCATCTTCCACAGTGCTGGAAGATTAGGCATCCACCATCGTGATCAGTTATGGCAACTTTTGTGTGTGCCAATTTTAGAGTTTGAACTCTGGGCCTGGGCACTGTCCCAAGCTTTTGTGCTCATGGCAAGCGCTCTACTACTTGAGACACAGCTCCACTTCTGGCTTTTTTTTTTTTTTTTTTTTTTTGGTGGTTGATTGGAGATGAGTCTCATAGACTTTCCTGCTCAGGCTGGCTTCAACCCATGATCCTTAGATCTTAGCCTCCTGAGTAGCTAGGATTACAGGTGGTAGCCACCAGTGGTCCAGGAGTTATTCTAGCAGTATTTTTTAACTGAGAAAGACAAAAAAGCTGAAAAATAGGCAGCATGAGTTCTTACAAACTCAATTAACTTGCCTGTTTGTTTGTTTGTTTTGTGCTAGTACTAGGGCTCGAACAAGGGCCACTTTCCCTTAGCTTTTTTTTTTTTTTTTGATTGGTCATGGGCTTGAACTCTGGGCCTGGGCGCTGTCCCTCAGCTCTTCAGCTCAAGGCGAGCGCTCTACCACTTGAGCCACAGCGCCACTTCTGGTTTTCTGGTGGCTTGTTGGAGATAAGAGTCTCATGGACTTTCTGGGCCAGGCCGGTTTCAAATTGCAGTCCTCAGATTTCAGCCTCCTGAGTAGCTAGGATTACAGGTGTGAGCTACTGGCACCCATTTAGTTTTGCCTGATTTTCCCTCTAGATATTGTAAGCATCACTAAATATAAATAGGTTTCTAGGTGACTTCTTTCTATCAGTTACGTTTCTCAATTCATCCACGTTCTTACAGCTAAGGACAGTTCTGTTTTGCTACATAGCCTTCTGCTGTGTGATTAAGCCATAATTTTCCATGTTGTGACCTGGGCACTGGGCAGTTTTCAGCTTGGCACTATATAGTCATTCTGCTCTGAACTTGCCAGCACGGTTATGTGTCTTTGGTGGGCCTGGTGGGCCTTTCTTTTGCATGCATTCCATGGGCCACTGCTTGCAAATGTGGTTTACTTGAGCAGAGGTTGCCCTGAAGTTTCCAAAGTAACTGTCCAGTTCACTTGCCTGCAGCTCCATCTGAAGTTCAGGGTCCTTCTCTCTGTGGTAAACTGGTCTTACTTCCTGTCTGTTTCACTTGAACAGTTCGAGTGTGCCAGCTGAGCAAGCGACAGAGCTAGCCAAGCTAGCATGAGGCCCTGGGTTCAAATACCAGTACCAGCAATAAATAAATGAAATGAATGAATGCATGAGCGTGATATTAATAAGACAGTGGTTTGGTAATGATGTTTTGGGTCTTTTTGTCTCTCATTCCCTTCCCTCCCCCCCCCAACACCTCCCACAGCTCCCTAGATGAGACCACCTATGAAAGACTCGCAGAGGAGACGCTGGACTCTTTGGCCGAATTTTTTGAGGACCTCGCAGATAAGCCTTACACATCGAAGGACTATGATGTCTCCTTTGGGGTACCCCTTGGCTTATTTTCATGGCCCTGATTCCTCCCTAAGAATTATAGTTCATTGCAAGCCAGGCAGCAGTAGCTCATGTCTGTAATCTTAGCTACTCAGGAGGCTAAGACCTGAGGATCTGAGTTCAAAGCCCTAGGAAAGTCCATGACACTCTTATCTCCAACAAAACATCAAAAAAGCTAGACGTGGAGCTGTGGCTCAAGTGGGAGAGGGCCAGCCTTGAACCGCTCTCCCCCCAAAAACAAAAACTAAAGGACAGCACCCAGGCCCTGAGTTTAAGCCCTTTGTTCCAACACCAAAAAAAAAAAAAGAAGGAAGGAAAGAAAGAAAAGAAAAAGATAGGTTCTGGTTTCCTGGGACAGGGCTAAGAAGAGCTCTTGGTGTAATGTTTGAAGTCCTGGGTTCAATCCCCAGCACTAAAAACAAAAGAAAACAAAATTACAAATTCCCCAGCATCCCCTGATACTTCTGAAGGTAAATCAGGAGGGCCTGGCCAAGCATCTGTGTAGCAGATGGCCCAGGAAACACTGAACCAGAGCAGATGGAGGGTCTGAAGTAGGGATCATTTCCCAAGACTTAACCATCCTGTTCCAGTCTCATGGAGTAAATCAGGTTGCATTCCTGAAAAGCACTTTTTCTTTTTAAAGCTTGCCCAGGATTCTAATGTGAGATGCTAGGTGATTTTCAGCTAATTTCTCTAGAATATTCCCTGGGCAGGGAACTGGAATTTGTTTGCCTCCCTCAGGTGATTGTAAAGTACAGTTGGTCTGAGAATTGAGAGTTGAATGTGCTAAGCCCCAATTCCAGGAAGACAAGGAAGTGCTGGTCTTTAACCAACTGGCCACCAGGTGGCAGATGTGAGCAACAGTTACCTTTGGCCATTAGAATTGTTGCTGAGGCCTTAAAAAAAAAGAAACTAAGCCACTCCCCGGGGACAGAAGTTAATCCTGACAGCCATTAATTAATACTAGGAAATGTCATGATGTGCGCTCTGAATTAAATCACTGGACTACGTAGGACAGTCAGTCAGCTGTCCACTAAAGTGATAAGGGAAAAAATGGCAAAGCGCGTCATCATCATTGTTATCTCTTAAGAAGTCACGCGTGCGTGCGTGTGTGTGTGTGTGTGTGTGTGTGTGTGTAGTTCCCCCAGCTCATCACGCCATTCATCTGTGTGTCTATTTATTTGTTTATTTATTGGCCGTGCTGGGAATCATCCCAGGGCCTTGCATGTAGAGAAGTGCTCTACTAATGAGCTACATGCCCAGCCCATAGTCTTCTGTTCTTACAGACAATAGTAATTGCAATTTTTGCTGGACAAGGTCCCCCAGAGTACAGTTTAATGTGAGACTCCCTCCTGCTAAGCACTTACAATATGGGGAACCTAGCAGATAACCCTTGCTGTCATTTCCTGCCCAATTTTTTTTCTCCTGGTGCTGGTCCTGGGGTTTGAACTTAGGGCCTGGACACTGACCCTGCTTTGTGCTCAAGGTTAGGACTCTACTACTTGAGCCACAGCACCACTTCCAGCTCTTTTTCTGAGTAGTTCATTGGACATAAGAGTCTTATGGGTTTTCCTGCCTGGGCTAGTTTTGAACCCAATCCTCAGATCTCAGCTTTTCAGTAGCTAGGATTATAGGAGTGAGCCACCAACACCTGGCTTTTCTGCCCATTCTAAAGAGACTGAAGGCTTTGGAGCAAAGGACTCTTTTGTGGAAAGAATGTTTTCAAACTTAAATGTGTGTTTATTGAGGAAAGATGGACCCACCAGTATGGAGCGGGCCAACAGAGATCAGTAGAACCTTGGAGGAGTTTCTGAGATGCCAATTAGATGCCCAGAAAGGGTGGAACTAACAAACCCAGGCTGGCGTTGGTACTCACCTAGATAAGCCATTGTTCTAACCAACAGGTCAGATGGGCTTGATGGCTTCCTTCTTTCCTTCTTTCTTTTCTTTTTATTGTTATGGCTTGTTGAATCTGATTTGGACTCACAGGGTATACCAGTAGAGATTGAATGCGCAGTTGTTAAGATTGTCTGGTGGTTGCTGGTGGAGCGCCACATCAGCAGACCCAACCCTCCACAGCTCTAAGAGCTAAGACAGTCATGCTACTCAGTTCACTCACCTCACTGTGAGAGGATCATAGCAGCGATCCGTCCTCTTCTGATGCTGAGAGCGGTGTTCTCTCTGCACACTATCTCATTTCAAATTTCATAAATTGATTTTTGTCCTTCTAGCTAGGCACCAGTGGCTCACACCCTGTAATCCTAGCTACTCAGGAGGCTGAGATCTGATTGCAGTTCAAAGCCAACCCAGTCAGGAAAGTCTATGAGACTGTTACCCGCCAAAAAGCCAGTAGTGGAGCTGCAGTTCAAGTGGTAGAGTACTAGCCTGCAGCACAGAAGATCAAGGACAAGCCAGGCCCTGAGTTCAAGCCCCAGGACTAGCACAGAAATAAATAAATAAAATTCTTCTATTAACTGCTGATGGCTCATACCTGTATTCCTAGCTACTCAAGAGGCTGAGATCTGAGGGTTGGAGTTCAAAGCCAACTGGGTAGAAAAGTCTGGCCCTTGCACTCTCTTGGCTTTCTTGCTCACAGCTGGTGCTGCTCTACCACTTGGGCCATACCTCTCGCACAGCTTTTTGCTGGGATTGTAGTTGCATTGACTTCTCTGCCTGGACTGGCTTTGAACCATAATTTTCTGTGAATTCTTGCTTCCTATTAGATAGGATTGGAGACATGAACCACTGGTGCCTGACAAGGCATTTCTTTACGGTGTAGATCAGGTACTTACAAAGGCATAACCTGCTGCTATATAATGCAAGGTAGTATGGCCCAGTGCTAACTTGGTCCAGTTTTATTGCTTTTGTCTGCCCCTTTTCCAGAGTGGTGTGCTAACAGTCAAGCTGGGCGGAGCTCTAGGAACCTACGTGATCAACAAGCAGACCCCAAACAAGCAGATCTGGCTGTCTTCTCCCTCCAGGTGATCACAAGTCCAAATTTGCCAATGTGGACTGGGTCTCTTTTTGGGGGTAATGCAGATGTTTGGGATCTAGATAGCAGTAGTGACTACACAATTTTGGGGCTATAGTATATGCCTCCGAATTATTTGTTTTAAAGTTGGTGTTCCTGGGGGCCAGTGGCTCACACCTGTAATCCTAGCTTCTCAGGAGGCTGAGATCTGAGGATCATGGTTTGAAGCCCAACCGTGCAATTAAACACAGAAAAAGCCAGAAGTGGTACTGTGGCTCAAGTGGTAAAGTGCTTGCCATGAGCTAAAAAGGAGCTCAGGGACAGCACCCAAGCCCAGAGTTTGAGCCCCAGGCCGAAATAATAATAATAAATTTTAAAAAATAAAATAAAGTTGTTACATGAATTTTATACCTCACTTCACTAACCCAGTAAGACACCCATCACATCAGTCACACGGAAAGGGCTGTGATTCGCGAACATGCTCTAATATCTGGTATCAGATGTGAAGTAGGTGATGGATGGGCACTCAAAGATAAGGGTCTTCAGATCTCCAGAATGTTCTGGGCAGTGTTCCAGGGGAGAGACTATGTCATTGCCCTTTGATTATTTGGTTTGGGTTTGGGTTTGTCATTTTAGGGGTTGAACTTAGACCCTCATACTTGTGAGGCAAGCATTTTACCACTAGAGCTATGCCCCTGATACTGTACTGGCCTTGAGTTCACAACCCTCCTGCCTCCTTAAATAGACACAAGTCAAGAAATCAAATAGATGCCTCATTAGGTATTAGCTAACTATAAACTGTCACTCCGTAAGTGTCTGGGTGGCAGCCTTTGTGTGCTCGTGTTAGCTTGCCACAGCAGTGGCAGAAACGTTTTAAAAATACCTAGAAAGACAAGATGGAGAGAGGTAGGTGGGGCCCGATGCCCCCTTGAAGGGCACACCTCTATAGACCTCACCCCCTTTCAATAATGACAGCTTCCGATGGCAGACCCAGCCTTTAGCGCATGGAGGCCATGGCTAACCCCAGATCAGCACACAGAGGTTTGCAGGGAATCACTGACTCTGCCTCCATCCTGTCTTCCAGCGGACCCAAGCGCTACGACTGGACGGGGAAGCACTGGGTCTATTCCCACGACGGGATGACCCTCCACGAGCTGCTGGCCCAGGAGCTGACCGAGGCCTTCAAAACCAAACTGGATTTATCTTCCTTGGCCTATTCTGGAAAAGGCACTTGATGGCCTGCCCTGCCTTAAAGACATTAAAAGCTGTCACGCCAAGATCCAGCCTCCCTCCGCAGCTTGAGTGGGTTTTTTCCATTCCTTGGTGAGAACAGTGGCATTGTGTGTGTCACGGCTTTGTGAAAACAATGTGTCACCGCCACCCCCCAGGGCCCCAGAATCCTCCTGTTCATTCCTTTGATTATCTCATTTCCTCTCTCCCCCAGGAGATCCCTTATCTCTTGTCTTTTTTTTTTTTTGGGGGGGGGGGGGGCGGTTGCCAGTAGTGGGGCTTGAACTCAGGGCCTGGGCGCTGTCCCTGAGCTCTTTTGCTCAAGGCTAGCACTCTTCCACTTTGAACCACAGCTCCACTTCCAGTTTTCTAGTGGTTAATTAGAGATGAGTCTCATAGACTTTCCTGTCCAGGCTGGCTTTGAACCACAATCCTCAGATCTCAACCTCTTGAGCTGAGTGGCTTAAGCCACTGGCTCTTATATCTTAAACACATACTTTAACAAATCATAATACAAATCCAGCAAGAACAAGGGTAAGAGGGGAAATTTCCAGGAAGAGAAGAAACAAATTGTATTTATTCTTCATTCTTAGAAGGCTTTACCAGGAAAGCTATGCGTAGGATTGACTGCTGGCTAGTGAAGATGAGCCTTGCTAAAGAATACAAGGTCCCCAGCCCTTGCGTATGGAGATGTCAAAATGCCTCGTTGTAAGGTGCTATTGCTTCCTTCCATATATTCCTGTATGTGTGTCATCAAGTGTGTGTGTGTGTGTGTGTGTGTGTGAGTGCGTGTGTGTGTGTGTGTGTATATATATATATATATATGTGCATGTGTTTATACACATATATATGCATACAAGTTAAATGTCATTTTATCATCTGAGAATACACCACAGAAAAACAAAAGTCCTGAGACATCTACAACACTGGTTGCTGAGAAGGTTCTAAACATGAAGAGACAGCCAGGTGCCAGTGGCTCACGCCTGTAATCCTAGCTTCCCAGAAGGCTGAGATCTGAGGATCGCAGTCCAAAGCCAGCTCAGGCCAGAAAGTCTGTGAGACTCTTACTTCCAATGAACCACCAGAAAATCAGAAGTAGAGCTGTGGCACAAAGTGGTAGAGCACTAGCCTTGAGCACAAAAGCTCAGGGACAGTGCCCAGATCCTAAGTTAGAGCCCCACGACAGACAAAAAAAAAAAGTGAAGAGACACAGGTGGAACATATATTCACAAATGGAGCTCTAGTCCCACGCTGGCTTCAAGCTTCGTGGATGTGGTTCACAAACTCCCGGCCCTGTTTTCCTATCTGTCTGTGAGCAGATAGAATACTTTCGATTATCAGCTGTCAATGGTCCTTTCCGGTGGCCATTAGCCAAATCTTGACTCCTGCTAAATAGATAAAGGGGTGACAATGGACCATTTTTTAAGCTAGAAGGTGAATGTATTGGTATTAGTATTTATCTACTGGAATTTCAATTGACTGCATGATAAAGTAATAACCATCCTTTCTTACATCAATCCTGCATTAATACTATTACACTGTCTACTGTGTATTCATTTATACATGAAGCAAAAAGGCGGTAAATTCAAGAACTAGAGCATTAAATTTGCACCAAACTCATTCTTGTGTTTGCTTTTTTTTTGGTCATTCCTTGGGCTTGAACTCAGGGCCTGGGTGTTATCCGTGAGCTTTTCTACTCAAGGCTAACGCTCTCCTACTTTAAGCCACAGCACTTCTGGTTTTCTCCTGCTTCAGTGGGTATAAGAATCTCACAAACTTTCCTGCCCAGGCTGGCTTTGAACTGTGATCCTCAGATCTTAGCATCCTGAGTAGCTAGAATTACAGGTGTGAGCCACCAGTACCTAGCTTGCTTTTTTATTTTTTTCTGAAAAAAAAAAAAAAAAAAGATGTATGCCAGCCTGTGATCCTAGCTTCTCAGGAGGCTGAAATCTGCAGGATCAAAGTTTGAAGAAAAAAAAATCTGTAAGGAGCCGGGAATGTGGCTTAGTGGTAGCATGCTTGCCTAGCATGCATAAAGCTCTGGGTTTGATTCCTCAGTACCACATACACAGAAAAAGCTGGAAATGGTGCTGTGGCTCAAGTGGTAGAGCAAAAGAAGCTCAGACACAGTGCCCAGGCCTTGAGTTCAAGCCCTAGGATTAACAAAAAACAACAACAACAAAAAAAACTGTCACCATAATATTCAGCAAGAAACCAGGCTGGAGGTGTGGCTCAAGTACTAGAATACCAGCTTAGCCTGCTAGGCCCTATTTTCAATCCTAAGGCATCCCCAGAAAAGATTTATTAATAGCAATTCTATGCAAATGTGTAGCGAAGGCTTTTGCAGTGGGCAAACCAAACACACATTCTTTTGTTGAAAAGAAAAATACCAAATGGGTACTGAAGATATTTCCTTTCTTCATAAAATTACTTTTTGAGTCGAGTGGAAATTTTTGAGTGTAATACTGAGACAGTAAATAAAATTCCACATGCTGTGGCTCTCGCCCGTAATCCTATTTACTCAGGAGGCTGAGATCTGAGGATGGGGTTCAAAGTCAGCTGAGACTAAAAAAAAAAAACAAAAATCCAAGAGACTCTTATCTCCAATTAACCACCAAAAAGCTGAAAGTGGTTCTGTGGCTCAAGTGGTAGAACAAATGAGCTCATGGACAAGGCCCAGGCCATGAGTTCAAGCCCCAGGATCAACGCTAAAAGAAGGAAGGAGGAATAGTGTTTCCTGACTGTGCAGTGCGCAGCGGAAGCCAGGCCCAGATCCTTGCTCTGACTTGATCAGCCCTGGCACTCAGAGTAAATCCTGACATCTCCTTCCAAGGCCCCAACTCAAGCTTCAATTCAATTTCTATTTTCCCGTGACTATGGGGGATGAAATGGAATGTACCAGATCTGATTTATTGCACCATCTAGTAGCTGAAGATTTGTTTACACTCTTGAGGAAAACACTTATGTCTAGCAGCAAGATTGGCTTCCAAGTGTCTAGGCACCCACCCAAGTCCAAACACCAGTACAAGGCTGACTACTGCCCATTTAGGAACCTCAGGAGCACTGCATATTGTATTATTGTTGTTCAATGTGTTTTTATTTATTATGAAATTGCTTATTGTGTGTGTGTGTGTGTGTGTGTGTGTGTGTGTTGTGTGCACCAATACTGGAGCTTGAATGCAGGGCCTTAGCTCTCAGCTTTATGCTCATACCTTGTCCTCTTGAACCACAGATCCACTTTGGACTTCTTGCTGGTTAATTGGAGGTAAGAGTCTCATGGACTTTCCTTCCTGGGCTGGCTTTGATCCTTGACCCTCAGATCTCAGCCTCATGAGTAGCTAGGATTATAGACATGAGCTAGCAGGTGCCCAACTCCAAAACTGCTTTTTGAGCCCACCAGTGATCTGAACTCAGCATTTCTGTATTTAAAAGATTTTACTTCATTTTTATTTTTGCTTTATTACTGCTTTTTTTATATTAGTGCTGTGTTTATGTTAAAGAATTGACTTGGTAATAATTGACTTGATCATGACATGGAATCTGGTAAGCCCTGTAATTTTTTTTTGCCGTTAATAATTTGTTCAACTCAGTATCAGAGAGGAAAAAAAAAAAGAAAGAAAATGGGGCAAAATATGCTTTCCAAAAGCAAGTCCCTGCTTCTTTTTGAAAGTAATTTCTTTGCTCCAATATGGCCCCATCTCTAGACATTTCTAAACTGGGAAATTGAGGACCAAGCCTTTACCACATGAGCCTTGGGAGATGTTTCATATCCAAACCAGAACAGGCCCCAAAATAGTACTGCCAGAGAGGCTCAGAATCAAATGCCATCATAGCTTAAGGAAATTAGTGATTGCATTTCATTTAGGGAAAGATAGCTGGAGCTTTAGGAATACAGATGTGGCAGGTGCAGTGGGTCCAGGCAGCTGGGGCAGGGAGCGCAGGTGCTCTGGATACAGAAGAGATTGGATGAGAGGGAGGAGGCGGGGCCTGGGGGCTGTGAACCTGCCAGAAGTGAGTGGGAGAGTCTTTTGTGGCTGGAGTGCAAGGACCACAGGGTGTGGTAGACTGGGAGAAAGAAGGAAGAGGTCCAGGAGTGTACAACCATAGTTTCAGCTGCAAAAGAGATTGGGAGGGTGAAAACGTATAGCAGCGGAGCTTACTCTGACTTGTGGATGGAGACAGGAGGAAGGGATTGGGAGAGGGAACAGAAGGCACTGTACAAAAGGAAATGTGCTCATGACCTGACTCGGGTAATTGTAATCCCTCTGTACCTCACCTTCATAACAACAATCAATTAATTAGAAATAAAAATAAAGCACATTATAAAAAATTAAAAAGACTGAGGGGGAGGATGGCTTCTGCTCAGGGGCTGAGACCAGCAGAGACAAGAGTGTGACCCTGTCTCACTCTTGGTTTTTTGGTTTTTTAATGCTGGGATCCAATTCAGGGACTTCTGCATTCTCTACCACTGAGCTACAAGCCCAGCTCCTAGACCTGACCTCCTTAATAGAAAAAGTAAAGAAGGCATCTGGATTGTGAAGACCACGAATCTGGAGAGCAGGGGTTGGGTTTTGTTCATGCGCTATCCTGCCATGATCTGGAGAAGGGAAAATGCTTGTAAGCGATGTGGCTTTATCATTGTATAAAACTTCAAAGAAACTAAGATGTCATGCCACTTATTAATTCTGGGTGCCTTTTATTGTTAGTGAAAGACCACCACTGGTCTGGGGAATTTTTTGTTTTGGTGTTTATTAGTCACTAAGTTGATGTATGTCATTTTTTATTAATTTTAATGTATTTCTATTTTATTTTTTTGCTGGTCCTGGGGCTTGAACTCTAGGCCTGGGTACTGTCCCTGAGCATTTTTGCTTAAGGCCACTGAAGCCACAGCTCCACTTCCAGCTCTTTTGGTGCTTAACTGGAGACAAGAGTCTCACAGACTTTCCTGCCCAGGCTAGATTTGAACTGCAATCCTCAGATCTCAGCCTCCTGAGTAGTTTGGATTACAGGCAGGAGCCACCAGCGCCCAGATGATGTAGTTTACTTC